CTTACTTAGAATGACCAAAATTTGAACTTAATCTAGCATCAAAGTCCAAACCAGAACTCTTTTTTTTTTTTTAATTTCATTTTAGCCATTATAGATAGCCATTATAGATAGGGATTGTATTTTCATTTTTTTCCTTCTTAGTTTGCATTTCCTTTATGCACCCAGTGGACCAAATCCTGGGGGTTGGACCCAATTCTAAATTCCATTTGAAACTTTTTCCTTCAGTAAATGATTGCTGCATAGCTGCTGTTCCATAGCAGTGGTGACCATGTGACCTCCCAGGATTCAAAGGTTTCTCATTCCCTACCCTTTCATTCTTTCTTTTCCTAAGTTAATATAGGGGAGGGGTATGAGAGCTACATACATTTAAATCAGGGACCTGTTCCATGCTGCCTGACCTGGAACTCAGCTGACCATAAATTCCTGCAAAGATTGATTAACAGATACCTTACCAGTTACCTATACTAATAAAAGGGTAATATGCTAATTAGATCATGTTGACTGGCCATCTTCCAGATGACAGACTTTCTTCCGGACAAAGCCATGGTGGAGGGGGCCAAGGCAGAGGCAGTTAGGGGTGATCAGGCTGGCAGGGAAAAGCAGTTGTGGGCCACCAGGCCAGTAGGGGAGGGCCGTTGGGGGCGACCAGGCTATTGGGGAGGGAGTTGGGGGTGACCAGGCCATTGGGGAGGGCAGTTGGGGGCAACCAGGCAGGCAGGGGAGGGAAGTTGGGGCATTAGGCAGGCAGGCAGGTGAGTGGTTAGGAGCCAGTGGTCCTGGATTGCGAGAGGGATGTCTGACTGCCAGTTTCGAGGGGTCCCAGATTGGAGAAGGTGCAGGCCAGGCTGAGGGACCAGTCCTCCCCGCAACTCCCCGTGCATGAATTTCATGCACTGAGCCTCTAGTACATACCATAAAGGGAAAACAGAATATTAAAAAATATACCTTGTAAAGGTTAAAGTTAATACTAATGATTTTTTCCACTCTGTATTTCCCCATACCATGATAGAAACTGTTATCATCATAATCAGCTAGATATGAATATTAATATTAGGAAGAGAGCAAAGGGGAGGCCAGGTATGTCCTCATACGCATGATCTTCTGGGCAGGCTCACCAGGAAAGTACAATTTCACTCTCTCCTAGGAAGCACTGGTCCATTCCCTGCAAGTCCTTGGGGGAAGAGATTGAACAAACAGGGAGATGGACACGTGCAATGAAGTTGGGGTAACAGAGGGAAGATGCTCCTCTGTCAGTCTAACCTGGGAAAAGACATTTGGCTAAGATGGCAAAGCCACTGCAAGCGTGAGAAATCCTGAAGGGTTAATTGGTTAAGTCCTAGTTATCATCCTTAGACATCGAGTTCTGTCCCTGTGTCTCTCGCTCTCGCTCCTGCTTGCTGTTCGCTGTTGCACTCTCTTGCTCCCTGAGCCACATTTGCCCCCTGCACTCACCCGCCATGTGGCCTTAAACAGTCTGCATGGGCCATGCGGACTCCACACTCAGGATGCTGGACTGGACGGGACTTTTAAATGGAGCAGGAACTCTGGACGCCGGTTTTTATTTTTGCCCTGCTGCAGACAAGACTGGACTTCTTCCATGGCAGGATGGAAGGAAATGGGACATTGGAAACCCAGGGGTCATTAAATCCATGAAAATAAAGATCACGCATCCTCTCTTAAGAGTCTCAGGAAATTCCTTTCCTTGAGAAATCATAAAACCTCCACTTCCACCATAATGGGGGATGCAGAGGGCACCAACCAATAACAAAACTATTAACAGAAGTAAGTTCAACTTCCAGAGATGGTTGAGGTCTCTCTTCTTTCTCTCATGAAAAGAGTTTGATGCTCTGTTTATGGAGTGGCTTTTTTTTTGCTTGTCCTCTCTGCCCAATTAAATCTACTTTTCCACTTCTTCTTTTTTTTTTTTTTTAAATATAATTTATTGATTTTTTTACAGAGAGGAAGGGAGAGAGCCAGAAACGTCGATGAGAGAGAAACATCGACCAGCCACCTCCTGCACACCCCCCACCAGGATGTGCCCGCAACCAACGTACATGCCCCTGACCGGAATTGAACCTGGGACCTTTCAGTCCGCAGGCCGATGCTCTACTACTGAGCCAAACTGGCTTTGGCTACACTTACCTTTTTATCTGGCTCACATCCTGAATTCTTTCCTGCTAAAAGCCAAGAACCCTCTTGGCTTGGGGTTTGAGTCTTCCCTAGGACCTGGCCCCTCAGGTATCAAAAGAATATATTTTTCTTTTCCTAAGTTAATATAGGCCCTGGCCAGTGTGGCTCAGTTGGTTGGAGCATTGTCCCATGCACTGGAGGGTATTGGGTTTGATTCCCAGTTAGGGCACCTACCTAGGTTGAGGTTTGATTCCAAATTGGGGTGTAAACAGGAGGTACCAATTGATGTGTCTCTCTCACATTGATGTTTCTCTCTCTCTCTCTCTCTCTCTCTCTCTCTCTCTCTCTCTCTCTCTCAAATCAATTAAAAAACAAACAAAAAACACCACATATTTCTGTGAGCCATGGCTAATCTAGCAAATCTCACTCTGAAGCTAACTATTAAAAAAAATATTTGTATTGATTTCAGAGAGAAATCAATGGAGAGGGAGAGAGAGATAGAAACATCCATGATGAGAGAGAATCATGGATCGGCTGCCTCCTGCAAGTCCCCCACTGGGGATCGAGCCCACAACCGATCCGGAATTGAAACTGGGACCAGAATTGAACCTGGGACTCTTCAGTTCACCAAGGCTACTAGCCATTTTTATTGCCAGCACTTCTTACAACAAATTTGTGTGTTATTTCCTCCCTCACTAACCAATTCTTCAACTACCCAGACACCAACTGGGAGTCCTACAATTCAATCAGTTCTGATACTACATACAGAGTAAGCTTAATCCTACAAGACTAATCCCCACTTCAGAGGACAATCGTAAGTTCTGACCTCCTTTACTTCTTCTGACTGACTATAAATGGGGGTTCCAATGACCACCTCCCTTAGGTTCACTAATTACTAAAATGGATCATAGAACTCAGGAAAACAATTTATTTATTACTGGTTGATTATAAAGGGAGAGCCAAATGGAAGAGATGCATAGGGCAAGTTAAAGGAGCATGGTCTGAGCTTCCATGCCCTCTCTAGGGTTGCCATTTTTAGCACCTCAGTGTGTTCACCAACCCCGAAGCTCTCTGAACCCCAGCGGGAAGGGGTGTTTACGAAGATCCTATTATGGAGGCATGATTGATTAACTATTGGCGATTCTACAGTGGTGATGTGGTCTTCTCTTTGCATCATGTCAGGAAACATATGATGTTAACATGACATTTCTTTAATCTTAATCACTTCATTAAGGTGGTACCTGCCTGTTACTCCACTATTTTTCCTTTTCTATATTCATGAGAGTTAGTAAGTCCAGCCAACACTCAAAAAAAGCAGAGTGAAGCCTGGCCAGTGTGGCTCAGTGGTTGAGAGTTGACCTATGAACCAGGAGGTCACTGTTTCATTCCCAGTCAGGGTTGTGGACTCAGAAGGGGGCATCGAGGAGGCAGCTGTTCAACGACTCTCTCTCATCATTGATGCTTCCATCTCACTTTCTCTCTGAAATCAATAAGAAAATATATTTTTTTTAAAAAGCAGAGTGAAGCTTCCACAGTATGGCCGGCGACATTAGCTAGCACTCGCTCAGCTTGCTCTCTAATGGGGAAACAGCAAACTACAAGAGTCTGAACTGTATCTGCCTCTATTTTCTTTTTTTAATTAATTTATTTTATTTTTAAAATATATTTTATTGATTTTTTACAGAGAGGAAGGGAGAGAGATAGAGAGTCAGAAACATCGATGAGAGAGAAACATTGACCAGCTGCCTCCTGCACACCCTCCACTGGGGATGTGCCCGCAACCAAAGTACATGCCCTTGACTGGAATCAAACCTAGGACCCTTCAGTCTGCAGACCGACGTTCTATCTACTGAGCCAAACTGGTTTCGGCTGCCTCTATTTTCAACAGATTCATGATCAACTTTTCTCTCTCTCTCACACACACAAAAGCAGGAAAATTTGTATTAATTTCTTTTTTTAAAAAAAGGTAATAAAAATTGTAGGAGGAAAAAAAAAAAAAAAAAAAGGAACCTGAAACAGCTGGAACAATTCGCAGCAGCGGTGGGAGAAGAGATTTGATCTAGTTGATTTTCTGTGGTTGTTGGTTGTTCGCTAGTCTCACGGTGATGGAAGCTGCACATTTTTTTCAAAGGGACCAAGGAGCTAATGGAAGTTTGGTTCTCCAAGCAGCAACCCGATGCAAGCCAAGGATCTGGGGATCTTCGCACCACCCCGAGATCCGAGTGGGACATACTTTTGAAGGACATGCAATGTTCAATTCTAAGTGTGACAAAGACTGACAAGCTGGAAGCTTATGGACTCAGTAAGAGGAGCATGTTTGTCTCCAGAGACGTTTCCTTTTGAAGACATGTGGTACACCCTCTTGCCGAAAGCACTATTCCCTGTTGAAACTTGCGTGGGTTTGGCTCAGCACAAAGCTTCTTTTATTCTTGTAAGAATGGCACAAAGCATCCTCACCAAGGGTACCCACACCTTTCCAGGAAGAAATAGTTTTTTTAAAAAAATATATTTTATTGATTTTGTACAGAGAGGGAGGGAGAGAGCTAGAGAGTCAGAAACATCGATGAGAGTCATCAATCAGCTGCCTCTTGCACACCCCCTTCTGGGGATATGCCCGCAACCAAGGTACATGACCTTGACCGGAATCGAACCTGGGACCTTTCAGTCCCCAAGCCGACGCTCTATCTATTGAGCCAAACCGGTTTCGGCAGAAATAGTTTCTTAATGCAATTTTCCCAAATGGAGCAGCATACTGCATGGGACGTATGAATTCTGACTGTTGGTACTTGTATGCTTTAGATTTCCCAGAGTCCGGCAGTCAGCCAGATCAAACACGAGAAATTCTGATGAGTGAGCTTGGCCAAGCAGTTATGGACCAGTTCTACATAAAAGATGGTGTTATTGCAAAGGATGTCACCCGTCAGAGTGGAATTCATGACCTGATACCAGATTCTGTCATTAATGCCACAATGTTCCAGCCTTATGGGTATTCGATGAATGGCATGAAATCGGATGGAACTTATTGGACTATTCATATCACTCCAGAACCAGAATTTCCTTATGTTAGCTTTGAAACGAACCTAAGTCAGACCTCCTATGATGACCTGATCAGGAAAGCTGTGGAAGTCTTCAAGCCAGAAACATGTGTAACCACCTTGTTTGCGAACCAAAGTTCTCAATGTCGCACAGACCAAAGTTCTTCGCCCCAGAAAGCTGAAGGTTTTAAAAGTCTTGGTTGCCAGAGTGCTACGTTCAATGATTACAACTTTGTTTTTACCAGTTTTGCTAAGATGCAGCAACAGCAGCAGAGTTGATTAACAAAAATGAAGAAAAAAACGCAAAAAGGAAACAGACGTAAAAAAAGGTGGTGGCTACTTTTTAGATGTTGATACCTGGGGCCACGCTTTCCATAACCACCGCCTTGTAATTGCAGAAAGCCCCTAGTTGTGATGATTGTGCAATCATTTTGAGTTGGAGGTGGCCTTCAGAGCAGTCCGGAGCTTTTGTCTCCTTTCTGCCAGGGCAATCCCATGGCACAGCCAACCATCCCTTCTCTGCGCGCAATGTGCACACCTCCGGGACCTCCTTTCGCCGCTCCCCCGGGGATCCGCCTTATAGCCCAGCTTCCTCTGGATGAGCCTGGGTCCCCGGGGTCTGGCCTAGAACTGGGGTTCAGAGTGGTCGGAACTGGGGCCCAGCACAGTCGGAGCTTTTGTCTCCTTCCCGCTAGGGAACGCCAGCCAGGCACTCAGCCTCCCTCCTCTCCGGCTCCATCCTCTCTGCACGCACCACGTGTCTCCGTGTCTCCGTACCTTAGGCTTTTACAGCTCCTCCGCTCTTCCTTCTGGTTTCCTCCTTGCTTCTCGTTGTAGAATTTCCAGTCAGTCGCCTTTCCTGTAGTTCTGGGTAATGTCCATTTTATATTTTAGTTGTATTTTATTGAAATTGTTGTGTGCGGCTGCGGCTAGGTGTTTACCTGTGCAGCCATCTTGGATTCTCAGATTATTTGTGCAATCATTTTGAATTGTGTGTATTATTATATCAAGGAGTGAGATACCTTGCATGAATGCTCTCTTCTGTGTTTAGGCATCCTATGCCACTCTTGCTGTGAAATTGAAGTGCATGCAGAAAAAAACTTTTACTGTATGAAACTTTACAACACTTATGACCATTCAATTTAGTTTACGCACAGTGTAATATTTCTCCAGGTAGCTTCCAAAATTCCCCACAGACAAGGCTTTCGTCCTCACTAGGTGTTTGCCTCAGCCTAACCATCCGGGACTGTTCTATTCAATTGCTGCCAGGATGTTACATCCAGTTACCTTCAATTTCTAGAACACATTCTCTACTAATGTTATAGAAAACAATTTATACTTCATGTAGATGTTTTTGCAATGGCAAAATAAATTTTTCTTACACACACACACACAAAAGCAGAGTGAAGTCACTGAAGGGATTTGTGGATGGGGCAATGTGTGCTCGTGTCTGTTTTAGAAGGAATACAATGGCTAAAATGTGGAGTTGAGTTTGAGTTTGCGGTGGGGCGGGACATAAACTGGCGGGGTTTGACGCACTAGCCCTCTGACTCAGCAGGTGTCGGCTCTTGATGGGTCACATGGGATGAGAGAAGGTGGAGTCCAGGATGGCCTCCAGGTTTCCATTTGGACAGTTGAGTGGCTGGGGCCTTCCACTGACTATAAACCAAAGGGTGTGTGTTCCCATGGGAGGTGGTGAGCTCTCCCTGACCCTGCAGTGAGAAGCGGCTTTCTGCTTCTTGGTTTTGCCCTGAGGCAGGGGGAATGATATTTTCTCTCTCTCTCTCTCTCTCTCTCTCTCTCTCTCTCTCTCTCTCTCTCTCTCTCTCTCTCTCTCTCTCTCACACACACACACACACACACACACACACACACGCACGACTGGGATTAACAAGGAGGGCCAGAGTCTCAAGTGAGAGAAGGTACAGCCAGGGAGTGACTGAAAGAAACTGGAGGAAATTAAGCCATCCCTAAATCCTTTCCCCCCCTCCCCGATGGGTGCCCCAAATATGAGCAATTTGACTCCGTGGGTTTCAAACAAGCAATTTTATTTACCTTTTCCGCGCCCAGGGCCTCACGGGTTTTATGTCCCTTTCCGAGGCCTGTGTCGGGGGAGGGAGGCGCGGACCGCTACCTCCCGCCCTCACCTCCGCCGGCGGGGCCCGCGCCCCGGCTTCTTCTCCCCGCGGCGCCTCCGGGCGGGGGCGGCGGGCGCGGCGGGGGTCGGGGCTGGGGGTCCGGGCCCCGGCGCCCCGCGGGCCCCGCTGCCCTGCGAGGGCTTGTAGATCAGGTGGAAGATGAAGGCGTTGCAATACCTGAGGGGGCCGTGTGGTCCATCAGGGCGGGCCGGCCGGGGGTGCGGGATCTGGGGGTTGGGAGGGGGCGCGGAGCTGGGGGGGGGGGATGCTGTGAGTTGGATCCAAAGAGGGTTGTGTGTGTGGGGTGTGTGTGGGGTGTGAGGACCTCCCCAGAGGGTTGTGAGGGGTCTGGGCAGGAAAGGCAGGTGGTAGGGCTGGGCTTTGGGATGCTCAGCCGGAGGAAGAAGCTAAAGAAGTGGGGGGGGGGGGGCCCGAAACCGGTTTGGCTCAGTGGATAGAGCATCGACTGGAGGGTCTCGGGTTCGATTCCGGTCAAGGGCATGTACCTTGGTTGCGGGCACATCCCCAGTGGGGGGGCGTGCAGGAGGCAGCTGATCCATGTTTCTCTCTCATCGATGTTTCCAACTCTCTATCCCTCTCCCTTCCTCTCTGTAAAAAAATCAATAAAATATATATTTTTTAAAAAATAAAGAAGTGGGGGTGGAGAGAGAGAAGAGTCGGGGTCCTCACCAGGGCATGCAGTTGTCGGCCGCTCGGAGACGGAACGGGGAGCGGAAGGGGTTGGGCTGCGGGGGGCTAGTGCCCCCGCCGGCGGCCACGGCCATGGTCTGCTCGTCCATCACACAGCTGTACTCGCTGCTCTCCGTGAAGAAGGCGGGCACTCGGAGGGACTGGGGTGGGGGGGGGAGCCGGGCCTCAGACACGCAGGGAGGCTCCTGCCCCGGGGACCTCCCCAGCAGCAAGGGTAGCGCACTGGGTAGCACCCTGAGGCCCCAGACAGGCGGGGATGGAGGAGCGTGCGGGGCAGGCACAGGGAGGGACCGGAGGCAGCCCCCAGGGCAGCGGAGCCGATGCTGGAGAAGCAGAGGCGGTCGGGGAGGGAGCAGGGACTGGGCAGGAGGTGAGGGAAGTCCCCGTTTGCCCCTGTGCCCACCTGTAAGCGGGGCAGCGAGCTCAGCCAAGTGTCTTTGAGGCCAAAGCCGGAGTTAAATCCTGTGGACCGAGGGAGAAGCAGGCAGAAGCTGGCAGCCAGGTCTCCCCCCTCCCTCCCTTCCACGCACACCCCACGCCAGGCGCTTACCGATCACCAGGTCCGGCTTGGGCCCCTGGAGCAGGTGGTAGGGCCGAGCAGACACTTTGATCTGCAGGTCCCTCCGGCCCCCCTTCTCCTTAGTCCCTGAGCTGAGCCGAGCTGACACCCCGGAACCGGGACGGACAGAGACTTCAGGACCATCCTGCAGAGCCAGGAGTGGGGTGCAGAAACCCCTGCAAGTTAGGGTGCTGGAGGATGCGTCAGGCAGGAAGACCAAGGAGAGGGGAGGAGGACCAGACCAGGGGCGAAGAGCAGGGGACCCCTCGGCCCTCACCCTCTGCAAGGTGAAATGCTGCTGGTCACTCTCGGGGGGCAGGCCGTCGCCCACAAACTGTAGTTCCAGGGCCACGTGGGGGAGCAAGACCAAGAGCTCCTAGAGGACAGAGAGGCGGAGCTGGGTCCCACCCTGCGTCCAGGTGGCCACCCAAACGCCCAACCTTCGGGCCTGGAGGGACTTACCCAGAACACCATGACAAGGTCAAACTCCTTCCCCGCCTCCACCACGTGGATCTTCAGAGACTGTTTGTTCTGGATGTTGAGCTCGGGGACTGTGTGAGAAGCTGGCCCTTTAAGGGTCTGACCGCCCTCCCCTTCCCTCCTGCCCCCCACCAGCTCCCTGCTGCCCCTCTGGAACCCCCCCTGCCCCTTCCCTCCCTCCCCCCCACACCCGCACCCGCTGTCCTTACAGGACTGGGGCACCAGGTGGGTGATGACGTAGTACACAGTCAGCGGGTAGGTGAGGAGCACCGCCATGGGGGAGTCCAAGCTGAGGCCCCGCCATGTGTAGTAATCCTGCCACGAGCCTGGGGAGAGTGGGTTACTGGGGGGACCTGGCCCCGGGTCTGGACCCCCGTGCCTCCAACCTAATCATCTCCCTTATCTCAGCCTCCCAGACTGCTGCTCTCCGGGCACTGCCCCTATCCCTTGTTCCTACAGGGTCCCTCCGGCTCACCAAAGAGGCCCCTGGGCGGATCTGCGGGCACAGGAGGCATCAGGACAGGCCCGTCCCCCTGAAGAAGCTGGTAGGGGTCTCCTGAGAGGAGGAAAGGAGGAGCAGGAGCCCAGGGTCAGGGAGGACCCCCTCCCCCCTGGCATGCCTCCCTCTCTCTTCCATAGGAGCTGCCTCACCTGAGAGAGGACTGGAGAAATGGGGGAGGGGGTTTGCCTAGGGATAGGTTTTGGATGGAAAGGGCAGCGGCGACTTCGAGGGCTGAGGAAGGGGCTGACATGGCCCTGGAAGCAGGGGCAGGTTTGGTGTGGCTATGGAGGGGCTGTCTGGGAGCCGGGCAGCTTTATTCCCTCCCGCCCTTTGTCCCCGGGAGGCCCACGCCTGCGGAGAGGCCCCACGCACCGTTGAGAAGAAGGCTGGGGGACGGGGTGCTGCCCCGGGGGTGCCTGGGGGTGCCGGGGCCTGGGATCAGCATGCTGATCTGGGTCCAGTAGCCACGAGTGAGGCCTCGCGAGGCCAGGAAGGCCTCCTTGTTGAAGGTTTCGCTGGTCACCTCTGGAGAAGGGGGAGGCGAAGGTTGGGGGCCTGGTGGCTAGGACTCCCCCCCCCCCCCCCCAGACTTTAGCTCCCCTCAGCCTCTCCCAAGGGTCTGAGTCTGGTGCTCGTCAGGGAGAGAACGGACATGTCTGAGTGCCTGCAGTGTAGCAGGCATGCCGCCGGCAGAATTCTTATAACAATTCCTGGGAGCATTTGTTAAGTGTCCCTGTTTTACAGCGCAGGAAACTAAGGCACCAAGACGTAGCATGGTTTGCTTAAGGTCCCCAGTTAGTGGTGGGGCTGGGAAGCAAGTGTTTGCATCGCCGGTTCGAAGTCCCCTAAACCAGTGGTCGGCAAACTGCGGCTCGAGAGCCACATGCAGCTCTCTGGCCCATTGAGTTTTTAGCAAAGGCCAGCTTTGGAGGACCCTAATTACGTTAACAATAACGTACCTACCTCTATCGTTTAAGTTTAAAAAATCAGGCTCTCAAAAGAAATTTCAATTGTCGTACTGTTGATATTTGGCTCTGGTGACTAATGAGTTAGCCCGACCACTGCCCTAAACTATCTCAGGGCCCCGGGCGCTGAGTCCTTAGCTCCAGAAACTCTGTCTCCAGCCCCAAGGTCTAGTCCTCTGCTCCAAACGCCCAGCATCCAGCCCCCATTCCAGGGATCCAGACGTAGCCTCCAGGACCCTGTTCCCAGACACCCAGGCCCCAGACACAAAGGCCCCAGTTCCCCCTTCCCCCCGGACCCCCCCGTGGAACCTGCAGTGTAGGTGAAAGGCAGGGTCGCCAGTTCCCCTGTCCGCTCCATGAAGGCTGCCAGCCTCGGGCACCAAAACCTGTGGCTCACATCTTCTGGGCATCGCCGCCAGTCGGCCCGGAGACAGGCCTCGCCACAGTACAAGACAGCACTGCACTGGGGGCTGGGGTCACAGGGAGGGGTGGGCACCCAGTGTTAGTCTCCGTAAGTCCTTTGCCTGCCATCTTGTCTGCCCTGCAGCGGCCCAAACTCAATCTGTTTGTCTGTATTCTCTCTGCCAGTAACAGCTTTTCTTTTTTTTTTTTTTTTTTTTTTTTTAAATCCTTATCTAAGGATATCTTTCCATTGATTTTTAGAGAGAGTGAAATGGAGGGGGGAGAGATAGAGAAACATTGATGTGAGCGAGACACACCACCAGGGCCAGGGATTGAATCTGCAATCCGAGGTACATGCCCTTGACCGGGAACCAAACCCGGGACCCTTCAGTCTATCGGCCGACACTCTATCCACTGAGCCAAACTGTCTAGGGCAACAACTCCTTTTCTTCATCTGATTTCCTTGTTCCTCACTGTCTGTAGGGTCCCCCCCCCCCCATTGGCCTCTCTGCCTAACTGTTGGGGTCTTCCTTCCTCTCACTCCATCTTTGCAGGTTGCTCACCAGGGCGTCAGCTTCACTTCAAAGCTGTGCTTGTGACAAACATGGCAGGTTCGAGCCCGCAGGGAAGCAAAGGTGAAGCCTGGCTGGGGACCCCACGTCCGCATCGGGGTCTTGGCTAACTTCACGCCCAGCCTGGGGACCAGAATCTCCAGCTCTCTGAATGGGCGTGACAGGGCGTCAGGCTACACGGCCCGGCAGTCCGGGCCCCTCCAGCCTCCCCACCCTCAGACCGCAGATTTCTGTACCGGTGCAGCTGGGCGTCCCCCACGGTAAGCTGCCGGGGCTTCCGGGGGTCTCCGGAGCCCATGGGGCAGGCCATGCTGTGGCAGAGGAGAGCATAGGCCCGGGGAGCCATGTTCTCTGTCCAGGAGCCCTTGCCCACACTCCTCTGGGCTCCACCCATTAGCAGGTCAATGCCCAAGATGGTGCCATGTTCATCCGTCACCAGTAAGAGGCAGGCAAGGTGCAGGGGGGCAGCCTCTGGAGAAGAAAGGTCAAAAGTCGGAGGGGGCGGGGGGGGGGGGGAGCAGCATAGATGATTAGGATCAGGGATATTCAACTCAAATGCCTACGGTGGGGGGGGGGCAGAGGGGGCGGCGGGGTAGGCAAGTAAACTAAGTGAGTAAAGATAAAGGAAAGTAGATAGAGAGGATATGCCTTATCTTAAAGGGGCAGCAGATACAGGGTACCAGCATTTGCTGCTGTTCTTTACTTTTTCTTAAGAAGGTATAACTCCAGCTGAAACCGGTTTGGCTCAGTGGTAGAGCGTCGGTCTGTGGACTGAAAGGTCCCAGGTTCGATCCCAGTCAAGGGCATGTACGTTGGTTGCGGGCACATCCCCGGTAGGGGGTGTGCAAGAGGCAGCTGGTCGATGTTTCTCTTTCATCTACGTTTCTAGCTCTATCTCTCTCCCTTCCTCTCTGTAAAAAATCAATAAAATATATTTTAAAAAAAGGAAAAAAAAAGAAGATATAATTCCATACTTCTGGATGTTTTTTTTTTTTTTTTAACATATTTTATTGAGTTGGGTTTTTTTAAATTAAATTATTATCTGTGTACATATTTTTATTTTATTGAGTTTTTACAGAGAGGAAGAGAGAGGGATAGAAAGCTAGAAACATCTATCAGCTGCCTCCTGCACACCCCCTACTGGGGATGTGCCCGCAACCAAGGTACATGCCCCTGACCGGAATCGAACCCGGGACCTTTCAGTCTATAGACCGACTCTCTATCCACTGAGCCAAACCGGTTTCGGCAGAAGTTTTTTTTTTTTTTTTTTTTTTTAAATATTTAAATGTTGGCTCAAATTAAAAAAAACAATGTGGAATTATAAAAACACCTGGCCTGAAGCCATCCTTTTGTTCTTTTGTGGCTTCTAGCTGGGTTCTAAGAGGGCTTCGGAGGGGGAGTGTGTCCGAGCAGGGGGAAGGGCAGGGCCAGCCCTGGCTTCTTACCACTTCTTCGCCCCTTCCTCCTCTTGGGCCCAGTTTCCTCTTCTGCCCGCTCCTCTTGATAGCCATTCTCGCCACCTCCTTCCTTCTGCTCAGCCTCCTCTGGCTGCCCTGGAAGATTTGCTTCCGGGGGGGACTCCCTGCTCGTATGGACTGGCTCCCCATCCTCCTCTGGCTCTACCTTCTCGTTGCCTGCACCCTCTTCCTCTCCATTTTCTTCCTCTTCCTCCTCTTCTTCCTCCTCTCCTTCCTCGCCTTCCTCCAAGCTGACAAAGCTGACATAGGGGCTCAGGTCTCGGAGGTGGAGTGGAGGCTGATCTCCCAGCAGCCAGCCCGCCCCCAGGCCTGGTCCAGGGCCTGGCTCTGCCCCTTGCCCCAAGCTGATGCCCACACTACGGTTAGGCAAGACGTGGAGCACCCAAAGGGCAGGGTCCTGGGGCAGCCTTCGGATCTGCGCCTCCAACTGTCGCCAGTGGCCCACGAGGCTGGTCTCCACAGCCCCTCGCTCTGCCACGAACTTTCGGAACCAGCCAAAGAGGAGGGCAGTGAAGTCAAGGAACTCATCTCGATATCCAGACACAAACTCCATGTCTTCAGTCGGGGGCCCAGGGCCTGGGCTCAGACTGAGCCGGGGAAGGGGTTGGTTATACGGTGAGGGGAGAGGACGGTCACACAATGGGAGGGTGTGTTTTAAGGGTCAGGTAGGGTGAGATCTCTAGGTGAGTGTTAGGATCTGAGAATAAGGCTTCGAGGCTGAAGATGGGAATCCCCCCGGATGAGAACGGGAGCTAAGACTAGAAAGTAGACCCTTAGGGTTAAAGATGTAACTGGGGAGTGAGATGGTACTTGGGGCTGAACAAATGAGGCTCCAACCTTCAAAGGCAGGGTTTGAGTTAGGGCAGAGGCGAGGGAGGGCTTATCCCGTGGGGAAGGGTCTGGCAAGGAGGGGAGAGTTTCGGATCCGCCTGTGGGGTGTGGGAGGAGGCAGCATCCCTTCAGTTTGGATCGGTTTGCGGTGCGCCCCTCCGTAGACACAGCCTCTCCTGGCCGTTCCGCTCCTCCGGTACCTGCAGCCGCCACCCCTTTTCGAAGGTAAATACCTCGGGGTGGGGGGCGGGGTGACGTCAGGGCGGCGGAGCCCGTGGCCCCCTCCTCGCGTCCTGGCGCCGTGGATGGGTGCCGGAAGGCCCGCGGACTTTCCCGTCCCATCACTCCGGGCATGTGACCACATCCCGGGGAGCCAGCCGGGGAAGTGAAAGCATCTTGGAGGAGGAGGTGGCTGGCGGACCTCTCGCTCGTGTCCCAGGCCCCCAGGGCCTGCCGGGGAGCGGAGCGGCAGGCGCGGCTGCCATCCCCGTCGACACGCAGCCACCTGCCCGCCTCGCCCCGCAAGCCCAAGCGTCCCGTCTCCTTCTTTCCAGGCATTCCCGGCCCGCCCGTCCACGAAGGCTCCCGCCTGGTGCGTGGGCGCGGGCGAAGGAGAGCTCCGCCTCCGGGAATTTCCCACCCGCGGGAGTCCGCCGCACGGGGTGGGCGGTACCGACCGCGCTGTCGGTTCGAGACGCCGCCGCCGCGAGCTGAGCTGCGAGCGCGGGAGGGAGGGTGCGCGCCGCAGCCGCGCGCCGTCCGTCCGCTGCCGCCGTCGAGGCCGGGGTCCCGCGCCCACGGCCCCCGTCTCCCCCGGAACCTCAGGTACAGCCGGCGAAGGAAGCGAAAGCCTCCGCGAAACCTGCCCAGCGAAGCCTGTCGGGGAGCCAGGCTGGGCCCGGCGGCCCCGAGATGAGATGGAGCTGGAGATCCGGGTCCCCCGCGCTCCACCTCCTCCTCCTGCTGCTAGCGCTTCTGATGGAGCCAGGTGCGTCGGACCGGGCTGGGACCCAGACCCCGGAATCCGGGGAAGGGGGTGGCTGTGTGTGAGTGTGCATGTGTGCTATGTGTATGGGGGAGACACTGGGGCCTCGGCATGGAGTTGGATAAGTTAGGGAGCCAGGCGCGTCCGGAGGTCCCCAGGACAGCCAGGGCAGTTGAAGTCAGGCTGCGGGACACCTGGATACAGGTGATATTAATATATATATATATATATATATATATATATATATATATATATATGATTTTTTACAGAGAGGAAGGGAGAGGGATAGTTAGAAATATCGATCAGCTGCCTCCTGCACACCCCCCACTGGGGATGTGCCCGCAACTAAGGTACATGCCCTTGTCCAGAATCCAACCTGGGACTTTTCAGTTCGCAGACTGATGCTCTATCCACTGAGCCAAACCGGTTTTATATATATATATATATATATATATATATATATATATATATATATATATATATAATTTCAAAGAGGATGAGAGAGAATGGGTTGGCTGCCTCCTTCCTGCACACCCCCTACTGGGGATGGAGGCGCAGCCGGGATGTGTGCCCTCGACCGGAATGGAACCGGCACTCACCAGTGCCCAGGCGGAATAAACCGGCTAGGGCACGAGCAATCCTCAGGGGTGTGCTGTGTGAGGTGAGCTTGGCGGTCAGGCCCGGCCCAGGGGAGAGGCTGCAGTGGGGCAGTGGGTTGGAGGATGCGTGGTGGCACCTGGCCCGGGAACCTGAGCTCGACCTCCTCGGTCCCACTCAGGCGCCGGCAATGAGGGCAGCAGAATGGGAAGCTGTTTCTGTCATAAAGGCATGGACTCCCCTCCACGGCTTAAACTCATGGAAAGTATCCGACAAAAAATGAAAGGTCATGTTTCCTGTGGCGACTATGTCAGGTAACCTCACCCACCCCTAAGGCAGCGCCTGGCACTCCCTCCCTGCCCGGTGCCCCCAAGACCCTCTCTGGTCAAAGTTGGGACTCCTTCTGGGAGCACTTAACCCTTCTCTGGGTGGTTTCCCTTAAAATTCCCCCCATCTCCCTTCACTTTCCTGTTCCACCTTCGGGAACTCCCAGCTCCCTTATCTCGGGAGATGACCTCAGGTCTTTGGAATGAGGAAACAGGTGGGAAAGGGGGAGGGGGAGCCCTCGGGAAACTAAAACCAGGTTGTTCCTCCGAAGGTTTCAAGTAGGTTCCTGGAGTGTCTGCGGGGGCAGCAAAGAGCCGTGGGTGATTGAATTGACCAGGTGCTTTGATCGGAAAGGTGAGTGCTTACCCCTCCTCTCCAGGCTGTCTCCACACCTCACCACCTCCACCTTTTGATTTTCCTCGCCTCAGACTTTCCCCCATTAGTCCTCACCTTCCTCTGCTGATGCTGGCCAAAGTACTTTCACTTAAGTCCCTGTTCACCAAACATCATTCTCTACCACTTTCATGATTTTCTGCTAGTTCACCCTCGTGCTATTCTTTACTTAATATTTTCTTTGAAATCGGGACACTATTCTTGTTTTCCATTCTTTTATGTGAACTTAAAGACACACAGTATAGAAAAGTTGAAAGAATTATAAACAGCCATATACCCACGACCTAGATTCTACAATACTTAGTTTTTATGTTTATATTTTACGTATTTTATATATGTACATGATAAAGCAAATACATTTTATATTTTGCAATATTGACTTTACAGCATTTTAATTATATTTGCTTTATTGCACATTCATCTGTCTATCCATCCTCTATCATCAATCCACTTATTTAAAAATATGAATATATTTTATTGATATTTTTACAGAAAGGAAGGGAGAGGGATAGAGAGCTAGAAACATCGATGAGAGAGAAACATCAATCAGCTGCCTCCTGCACACCCCCAACTGGGGATGTGCCCGAAACCAAGGTACATGCCCTTGACCAGAATCGAACCCAGGACCCTCCAGTTACCCACTGAGCCAAACCAGTCAGGGCCCACCTTTTTTTTTTTTTTTTTTTTTTTTTTTTTTTTTTTTTTTTAATGTATTTCCAGGTAAGTTGCAGGCAGGACTATACTTCACTCCCAAACATTTCGGCATGCATATACAATTCAATATTTTATTGTTCCTTTTTCCTTTTGAGGTAGAATTGCACACAATGAAATGAGTTTTCTTTCTTTTTGAGATAAATAAATCTTAAGTGTACACAAGGCATTTAAAAAATGGCTTATTGCCGAAGCTGGTTTGGCTCAGTGGATGGAGCGTCGGCTTGGGGACTGAAGGGTCCCGGGTTCGATTCCGGTCAAGGGCATGTACCTTGGTTGTGGGCATATCCCCAGTAGGGGGTGTGCAAGAGGCAGCTGATCGATGACTCTCTCTCATCGATGTTTCTAATTCTCTATCTCTCTCCCTCCCTCTCTGTACAAAATCAATAAAATATATTAAAAAAAATTTAAAAAATTGGCTTATTGATTTTAGACTGAGGGAGATAGAAACACCCTCCATTGGCTGCCTCCTGAACACCCACTAGTGGGGACTGAGCCCACAAGCTGGGCATGTGCCCTGATCAGGAATAGAATCAACAACCTCCTGGTTCATGGGATGAAGCTCAACCAACTGAGCAACACTGGCCGGGCCACAAGCTACTTTTTGAAAACATAAGTAGCAACTTGCCCTAGGCAATAATATCTGTGAAATCATAAATTTACTGGTTGTATTTTCTCTTAAAAGAAATACACAACCATTAAAATACAAAGTGTTTCTCACATCCCGCCTAAAGTCTTGGTAACATATGTGGTGAACTTCCTGCCCTCTGAGCTCTGTTGGCCTACATTATTTCATGTAACACTCCCAGCTACTATGGCCCTTGGACTAAATTATCCCCTCTTTACAACTGAAACAAATGAGTCCCTGAAAGGTTAAGAGACAAGGGCAAGGTCACACAGCTACTTCATAGCAGATTGCAACCCAAGTCTCTCTCTTTCGTTTAGAAAATATTTTTTATTGATTTTTAGAGAGAGGAAGGGAGATACAGAAATATTAATGGGCTGCCTCCAGGGATTGAGCCCATAACCTGGACATGTGCTCTGACCGGGAATCGAACCAGCAACCTCCTGGTGCATGTATCGACATCCAACCACTGAGCAACACTGACTGGGCCCAAACCAGGTCAGAACACACCTCTGTCCCAGTTTCATGTTGCAGTTGGTTCACTTCCTTCTCCCCCTCCTTTCTCTTCTGGTTTTCAGCTGTTCCCGATAGTCCCCTTAAACCACTACCCTTGCCTCTATCTGCTTCTTCACCCAGTCTCCTCATAACCATGATTCCTCACTTCTTGCCTTTCCAGAATGTGGACATGCTTACTCTGGGAGAGTGGTCCAGCAGGAGCATTCATCTCCCCACAGCACCCCGATTCCCAAGTCCACTGAAGGGGCACCTGCCGTCACAGAAATCCCTGCTCAGACGTACCCGCCACTCACCCTGCAGTCTACCCAGCAGCCTACCCTTCTGGTACCAACACTGTCCTTGGATACAAAGCTCATTTACTCCCCTGAAACCACTGCTTCCTCCGTGGGCCACAATCTAGAGACTGGGCCTGAAGCTGGGGCGAACCAGAAGCAGCTGGAAGGAAATGTGGGTCCTACACCTGGGATATATGTCACGGTGACAGGGCTTTTGGCCATCTTCATCCTCACTGGAGTCCTTCTCTATGTGCTGTGTAAGAGGAGAAGTAATCAGTCACCGCAGTACTCTCCAGGTGAAGTGGAAGCCTTCCATGGGGGACCAGTTCCCTGATCCCAGTAGCTTCCATGATAGCTGGAAATCTACCCCAGGCAGACAAACATGAAGGCTATCTGCACCATGGACCATAGGTCACGTGAGAAGAGTCAACCAGAATACGGAATGGGGAGGGAGGGAAGCCACCATGGGCCTTGGGACCAGTGCTTGGCCTTCAAAGCCAGGCGGTGCTTGAAGAAACATCAAGATGGCAGCTGGAGCAGACCAGTGGGAGATGAAGGGGTAGAAAATGGGAGCCAGTCATTTAATTCACAAGTCTTTATTGAGGACCTACTGTGTACCAGATTGTCTGATTAAATGTTTTGGAGTCCGATTCTCTAATTCTAGCTATCACTTCCAACTTCCCTTGATCTCGGAGCTCATCTCCCAATGTCTTTTCCAGATTTGCAGCTTCAATATATCCCTGTGGCCCAATATTCCAACACTTGGGCTAAGAATGGGAGCTTGTGAGGGTAGAAAATGTGATTTATTCACTACCAGAAACATCTGATAAACGGGAACATTCTCTCTGGCACATAGTAGGCACTCTGTACTATCTGTTACTGTTTAACCAGCCACTGCCCTGTTAGAATTTTCTTTTGCTTGCTTTTGTCTTTACATTGTGTAAAATTCTGAATGTGTATTACTTTTACTAAAAGTTATTTTTCTAATTATTGACTCTTCTTTCTGTATACATTGGCCTCATGCCCTTGCCCCCTTTACCAGGATTCCTGGCTTCAGCTTCTCTGCTGATGGTGCCCCATTCCCCAAAGTCTCTCTCTATACCACACCAACTTCAGCCCTCACTTGCTTCCTCCCCCGACCCCACACTTAAGGCCTGGGTTTTCCCACCCTCCCTCAGCAGCCACCAGCTGCCATCCGGCCGGATTTACTTCCTCAATACCTTGTGACACTCATATATGCCCCAGCGATAGTCTTTATTGTTGTTTTTTATTATTAAAACCCTTAGTTCCTGTTTTATCTCTTCCAATGAAGAATGTGTCTTCATTGGTTCAAGTCTGCGGAAGCGGACAAGGACACGAAGTATCGGAGGAAGTGGGCTGGGTGACTGACTCTCGCCTCCTGTCTGAGCCTGTCAGCACTTTGGTGAAGTCAGAGCAGGGGCACCTGCTGGAGGTGCCAGCACAGAGTGGTGGGCAGGGCGTGCACGGCAGCCTGTGCTCATCCTACAGGCCTCCAGGTTCTGTCCCAGGTGGAGGTGGTGATCTCCCTCCACGATGTCTCTCTGCCCACTTGGCTTAGTTTTCCAGCATCTGCTCACAGGTTCGGGCCACATCACTGAGCTTGAGGCGAGCATAGTCCACTCGCTTCAGTGCCATCTGACAGTCCTTCCTTGAAGAGTAGCTGGAGCCCTCATGGGGCTGCCCTGTGGCCACCTAGAGGACATTTCAACTGGTCAGTGAAGCATCCCCTCCCTTATCCATCTCCCAACAAGCCCCCAGGTCTCTTGTCTCATTTCTTCCCAGTCTGAATCCACACCACATGGTAGCTGGATGACTGAGGGCAAACCACTGAACTTCTGATCACCTCATCTGGAAAATGGGGGTGACCACAACTAATCCCTAGAGTTGTGCGATTAAATAAAATCACGTAGAGTGTCTGGTACATTGTAAAAGTTTGGTAAGTAGTGGTTGCTATTGTAATGACTTCAGAACCCTCTCAATCCCATCTCTTTTCTCAGGAAGTAGCTATCTGGGGTTTCAGGCTCCTGAGGTCAGTTTCTTTCCTCCTTCCTTCCTTCCTTCCTTCCTTCCTTCCTTCCTTCCTTCCTTCCTTCCTTCCTTCCTTCCTTCCTTCCTCTCTCTCTCTTTTAATGTGTGTTACCTGCCAACTTTATATATATATATATATAATTGATTTTTTACAGAGAGGAAGAGAGAGGGATAGAGAGCTAGAAACATCGACGAGAGAGAAGCATTGACCAGCTGCTTCTTGCACACCCCCTCTGGGGATGTGCCCGCAACCAAGGTACATGCCCTTGATCGGAATCGAACCCGGGACCTTTTAGTCTGCAGGCCGAAACTCTATCCACTGAGCCAAACCGGTTTCGGTCTGAGGTCAGTTTCTAGGAACAAAGTTCTGTGGCTCTGGCCTCCCCTAGCACTTCCTTATCTAGTGGTTCACGTGATGAAACCCGTGAATAGGCAGGGCCACCTTTCCTTTTAGAGGAAGAAACCAGTCCAGGAACGGAGGAGTCCAGCCAGGGTCATTCATCGGGCTTGGCGCCGGCTTGCGCGGCCTGGTCTTGCCTGACCCCCGAGGTCAAGGCTCCGCCTGGGCCTTCAGAAGGCGAAGGCTAAGGCTAAGGCAGAGAGCCGGGTTGGGCACACTGCACCTCCCACCACCCGCACACCTGGGTGAGGTAGCGGATCTGAGCCGACAGCTCCGCCTCTACGTGTTGCACCGACGCCGTGAAAGCCGCCGCTTGTCGATCTAGCAGCCGTTCATTGGTTTTCTCCTTGGAAAGTTCCAGGATTACGGTACCTGCAGGGGCAGAGAGAGGGCGGGGCTACTCGGAGTCCCGCAGTCCAGCCCGCCCAAGGGCCAGCCCCTCTACCCCCCCCCAACCCCGCCCTCCCTCGCGGCGCTAGCACCCGGGATCCTCCCCCGCCCCGCTCCAAATCTCGGGTTGGCGCGCGTGCTCGGGGCTCAAGCTCGCGCTCTTTGCCTTCCGGTCCTCGTTTCCCGAACCTGCATTCTGAAGGATGGCGCCGATTTCCCGTTCGATGTCTTCCAAGGCGCGGAGTCGCTCGTTTGCCAGGCTGTAGGTAGCCATTGCCAGTCACTCGGGGAACCCACAGGATTTTCCCCCTTTTTGCGAAGCGCCGACGTTTGACCCGGAAGGAAGGGAGTGTCGGTTTGCGCCGGCGCCGAGAGCGGATCTCTAGCCGACACTACAATTCCCAGGATGCTCAGCGAAGCCTCGCCTTTCGCGGCTCACCTGGCGAACTACAACTCCCAGGGAGCTCTGCGCCGCCGCCTCAGGACTACCCGCGCCAGAGACCGGAGCACCTGAACGTTCCGTAATCCGGGGTGGTTCTGACCCGTCCAACCTTCACGACATTATCCTGTGGTGTATAGTTAGTGTCTTCTGTAAGAATTAATTGGGCATCTGCTGGCGCTAGGTGATGATGGTGGGAGTGCTGGGGCGTTCTTCCCGATTACGCAGCCGTGGGACCCTCTCTGTGTGCCCACCCGGCGCCGCCGTCTGTGGGGCCCGGGGAGAGCTGGACGTGGTGAGTGTTGCATTCTTCGCCCCAGCGCTTCCCCCTGCACCGGAGCCCAGCTGGAGCACCGACTCAGGCTATTCTCAGAAGCCGGCCTGTTTCAGCCTTCTCACCTTTCCCTTTCTGGTTTCCCATTGTGTGGCGGTCTCTGGTGTACAGAATGGATGAGATGGGCTCTCCCGCGATAGCGGCACAGGCGTTTTGTTAGAGATTTATGCCCTCAGGTGTGTCAGCAGGAGCACAGAGGGAGGACTCTGGGAGGAGGTGCCGCTTGGACGGAATCTAACCAGGTATCTCTACCTGGTTGGAGAGGAGAAAGGAACTGGCACAGGCAAGCGCATGGTGCTTGACGGGGTCCAGCACATCGGAAGGGACAGCGAGGGATTCGGTTCGAGCGAATGGAATGTGGTGGTGGTGAGGTGTGGCTGGTGAGACTGGAGTGAGCGGACAGATCTGGAAAAGGTTTGCGAGCTAAGTGATTTGGACTTAGTTCTGAAGGCCTCTGGGACCTTGGAAGGGTTCTAATTGGTGAGTTGTGGCAGATTTACCCATTTGGATGGATCACTGTTGACAGATTATGGAAGATTGAGAATGAAACCAGTTTGCATAGGGTTAGCGCGTGAATGGAGACTTACAGTTGAACTTGAGGGAATCTGGCCCTAGCTGGTTTGGCTATTGGTTAGAGTGTTGTGGCCCGCAGGAGGAAAGGTCCTGGGTTAGGTTCAGATCAAGGGCACGTACCTCCGTTGCAGGCTAGATCCTTGGCCCTGGTCGGCAACCAATCGATGTGTCTCTTTCACAAGGATGTTTCTCTCTCTCTCTCTTTCTCCCCCTCCCTTCCACTCTCTCTAAAAAGCAATGGAAAAAAAATATCAAAATTAACAACAGGGGACTTTCCCTCTTCTCTCTCTCTTCCACTCTGTCTAGAAGTCAATGGAAAAAAAATTTCCTTGAGTGAGGATTAAGAATAATAATAGTAAAATAGCCGAAACCGGTTTGGTTCAGTGGATAGAGCGTCGGGCTGCTGACTGAAAGGTCCTAGGTTCGATTCCGGTCAGGGGGATGTACCTTGGTTGCGGGCACATCCCCAGTAGGGGGTGTGCAAGAGGCAGCTGATGGATGATTCTCTCTCATCGATGTTTCTAACTCTCGATCCCTCTCTCTTCCTCTCTGTAAAAAATTAATAAAATATATTAAAAGAAAAAGAAAGTTTTAAAAAATAGTAAAATAACAATATGGGATTTCATAAAGGGGTAAAAAAGAAAGAGGAGGTAATAGCAAAGTTTTAGATAGAAACTGAAAAAAAGGATAAGTGGCAACTGATGTTATTAAAAACTTTTTAAAAACATGTTTGTTTTTTATTGATTTCAGAGAAAGGGAGGAGAGATAGAAACATCAATGATGAGAATCACTGATCGGCTGCCTCTTGCACGCCCTCTACTGGGGATGGAGCCCAAAAGCCAGACCTGTGTCCTGATCAGGAATCAAAATTGGTTCTGGGATCCATCCTCAACCACTGAGCCACACCGGTTGGGTAGTGATTTAGCAGTGAAGTGGTAACTAAACCAGCAGGGAAGAAAGTTTAGAAGCAACTTGATATATCCTTGAATTACTAGCATCATACAACTGGGGTGTAGGTGGTACTAACATTAGGAGGATTCTTTGAAGTATTTAGACCCCTCCCATCTCCTCCTTTACTCCATATATCTGGGCAACTACTCACCTCCAACTCATAATATTACTGGAGACTTTTTTGCTGGAGATGGAAAACAGAGGGTCTTCAGCATGAAGGATATTTGGGAACAGTTGCATTGAAAATAGAGAAGTGGAAGTTTACTTACTGAGAGGTGGTTTCTTGAACTCTGCCATCCAGATCAGAGCCTGGAAGGCTCTTCTCTGGATAATCTAACCAGTGAGAGAAAACCCCTTACAGTACTAACACCAGGGGTCCCCTAACAAAGCAGTTAGCCAGATCACCCCATGGTGAAACCCACGGTTGGCAGGTCCCGACTTTGTCCAGAGAAATGTAAAGTAAAACTTAGGGGAAAAGAAAACTATTGATACTTTTACATAAGAGATACTATAATAAAGGATGGCATCTAAGAAAACACACTTGAAAAGTAAAACCCCGAGGGAAGGGGTGGAAAATTCTAACAAAAGGGTTTAAAGAGAAATTGAGAAACTTCCAGAAAGTAAAACAAAAGGAGGCATCTAGGGGGGAAAAAAGGAGGAAGTGGATTAGAGAATCAGACCAGGGGGTTTAGAGATCAGAGAAAAATAAGAGTAAGAAAGGAAGGGCTGCCCAGCCTGTGTTGCTCAGTGGTTGAGTGTCGACCCATGAACCAAGAGGTTGTTGGTTTGATTCCTGGTCTGGGCACATGCCCAGGTTGCAGGCTAGATCCCTGGTGGGGTGCGTGCAGTAGACAGCCAATCAGTGATGTTTCTCTTTTGTCAATGTTTCTATCGCTCTTTTCCTCCCCCTTTCTCTAAAAATCAATAAAAACATATTTAAATAAAATAAAGGAAGGGCTTGTGCTTCCAGATGAAAAGGGCCCATCCACACTGCCCAGCATCAAGGCACATCATGAAATATCAGATGCAAAACAGACCACATATGAAGGGTCAGCGGTTAGAATGGCACTGAGCCTCTAAATAGTAACACTCCAGACTAGAAGACAGTGGATCATGCCTTCAGCATTTTGGGGGGAAAGTGATTTCCAATCTGGAATTCTGAACTCCAGCTCCACTAGGGTGAAGGATAAAAATGCAATGACTCAACAAAATAGAACTTATTTTTTTCTTAAAAAAAAAAAGTGGGTAGTTCAGTGTGCTCCACAAATCATACAGAGACCTGCAATATACTGTCATCCTTCAGGGCAGTGGTTCTCAACCTTCCTAATGCCGCAACCTTTTTTTTTTTTTTTTTTTTAAATATATTTTATTGATTTTTCACAGAGAGGAAGAGAGAAGGATAGAGAGCCAGAAACATCGATGAGAGAGAATCATTGATCAGCTGCCTCCTGCACACCCCCACTGGGGATGTGCCCGCAACCAAGGTACATGCCCTTGCCCGGAATCGAACCTGGGACCTTTCAGTCCGCAGGCCGACGCTCTATCCACTGAGCCAAACCGGTCCCGGCTGCCGCAACCTTTTAATACAGTTCCTCATGTTGTGGTGACCCCCAACCATAAAATTATTTTCGTTACTACTTCATCACTTTAATTTTGCTACTGTTAATGAATCGTAATGTAAATGTCTGTGTTTTCTGATGGTCTTAGGCTCTACAGCAGCAGTTCTCAACCTGTGTGTTGCTAAGATATCTAAAATGAACCTAAGACCATCGGAAAACACAGATATTTACATTATGATTCATTACCAATAGCAAAATAACATGAGGAACTGCATTAAAAGGTCGCTGCATTAGAAAGATGGTGAACCAGTGCTTATACCGAAAAGTGTGGTCTGTAGGCCAGCAGCATTAGCATTACCTAGAAGCTTGTTAGAAATACAATATCTTGCCGAAACCGGTTTGGCTCAATGGATAGAGTGTCGCCCTGCAGACTGAGGGGTCCCAGGTTCGATTCCGGTCAAGGGCATGTACCTTGGTTGCGGGCATATCCCTGGTAGGGGGTGTGCTGGAGGCAGCTGGTCGATGTTTCTCTCTCATCGATGTTTCTAGCTCTCTATCCCTCTCCCTTCCTCTCTGTAAAAAATCAGTAAAATGTATTAAAAAAAGAAAAAAGAAATACAATATCTCAGGCCCCACCACAGGCCTGCGGAATCAGCATCTGTGCTTGAAGATCCCCAGGTGATGGGTGTGTGTAGTAAAATTTAGGCCATTGCTGTCCACAATGTCAAAACTAGGTGGCTGCCATCCTGGGTAGAAGCTGGCAGGGACGGGGAAATAAAAATGTAGCAATCTCAGGTCTGGCTAGGAAGTGGCTCATATAATTTCTATTCACATTCCATTGAAAAAATCTTAGTCATATGGTCTCTATCAATGATTAGGGAAATCCAGTCTTTACCTAGGTGGCCAGCTGTTGTTCTAGCACCGGGTAAGAATAGATTTTAAGTGATATCTAGACTCTCACAACAGTCAAACTATCAATAATGAAGACAGAATAAAGACATTTTGATATAAGGTTTCAAATTTTTCTCCCATGTACCCTTTTTCAGGAGGTTATTAGAGTTAGACCCAGATTGGAAGGCTTCTAGAGAAATTTTTCAAGGAGATAAGAGGTGAACATCTGTTTTGATTTGACTGAATTAAGAGGATATATAAACTTTTGGATGAATATAGGGCAGAATTAGTGATAAATTCAGAGAATAATCAAATTTTTAAATGAGATTCAGGGAAAATAAAGTTATGGAAGAGGAGAAAGGCATTACATAGATATCACATGACAGCTATGAATAACATTACATAAGCTAATAATGAATATTGATCTAACTCTAACTGATATAATTCTCTTGGGAGTGTAGCATGCAGGGGCAGGATGGAAAGTGATCCATGGTGGGGCAGAGGGAAGAAGGAGCTCAGCTTTCACT